ACATATGTTAAAATTATTTAGTGTGACAATATATTTTTTCAAACACTGTATTCCTTTGATCTTTCTAGATAGCCTAGATTATTTTGTGTGTAACACAGTAATAATTGATGTTCCAAGAGTTTATTGTATGTTAGTGTAACAAGGTTTTCACATTTAATTCTCATGAGCCTATAAAATAAGTAGCATCACCTCTTATAGACAAAGAAATTCAGAGATAGCAACGTGTCAAGACCACTTTTTCTTAGTAGTCAACCTAAGATTTCATTCCATTTCTTATCTCTGACCCACTAATAGCTCCCCAGATCCATGACATACCACCTAGAGGTACCTAGGTATGATGGGGAAGTGTATTTGGCTAGCACATTATAAAAATGCAGAGAGAAACATATATAATTAAGTCAAACAAGGAACATTCATAGGAATTGACACCTTAAAAAAAGAGAAAAAAATATAAAAAGAAAATAGTTATTAACAAAATAAATAAAAAACAAACAAACAAAACAGTTACTGCCAGGTGTGATGGGGCTTATCTGTAACTTCAGTTACTTGGAAGGCTGACGTACAAGGACAGAAAGTTCCTTGGGCAATAACGTTGTAAAACCCTGTAGGAAAGTAACAAATAAAAGAGGCTGGGGAATGTAGTTCAGTGGAAGAGCTCCGCTAGGTTCAATCCCTAGTACGGCCAAAACAATAAAGAAAACTGGAGGTGTAGTTTAGCTGAAGAGTGCTTGCCTACTAAGGAGGTCCTGGGTTTGAGTTTCAGCATTAGGAAAAAAAAAAAAAAAAAAAAAAAGCCAGGGGTGTTGATGTGCACCTACAATCCCAGCACCTCTGGGAGGCTAAGGCAGGAGGATCAAATGTCTGAGGCCAACCCAGGCAACTTAGCAACAATGAAGTAAATTCTAGCTAGATGACAGATCTAAATATGAAACACAAAACTATAGTACTTCCATAAGACTGAAATTTTAAAAGGTATTTAAACTACCTAGATATTTCTTTTCTCTTAAAGCAACTATTAAATATTATAAATAAAAAGGAAAATAAACAGGAGTACATAAGATGATTCAAAGCTACAGCTATACTGTGAAAACTAGGAGTACTATTAAATGGTACTTTAAAAAAGGCCAAGTACTTTTAATGGACTTATCAAAAAGCAGATGAAAAACTACTTGTAAACTAACACTAAAGGGCATGGGAAAACACAAGAGGCCGCTGAGTATTTTCAAAAGGCACCTTGACAGTAGTATTAAATATACTATTTTAAGCTACAGAAAATCACTCCCAAGAAATGCTGGGAGAAGATAAAACTAAACTCATCTTTATTTGGAATCAAATTCTTAAGGTCTACTTGTGTCCAGTTTCAGAAGAAAAGAATAATGATTAGTTCATTGTTTTAGCTTTAAGCACTACCTCAACTGGTTCAGAGAAAAGTTGATCTGAGAAGGCCAGAAAGCTGACAATCTTACTATTTTTGCTTTCAAGTTCCAAGAAGTAAACGGAACAGAGATTTACTGGTAAGATAGGGAATATAAGCGGGGAAGGACTACAAAAAGAAAAAAAAAAAGGCAAAACCATCAGTATGTTTATGTTGCCACATATTTATAGTAGCAGATATTGCTGAAGATAGGTATTACATTTTTCAAGTTCAGAAAATGTATTACTAATGTATAAAATTTAAAAAATGTATTATCTGTTGAAAGAATTAAACTATTCTCTTTAAAAATGAGTTTCTTGCTTGACATGGTGTAGCATGTCTGTAATCCCAGCACTCTGGGAGGCTGAGGCAGGAGGATCCCAAATTCAAGCTGAGCTTGGCCATGGTCTTACCCCATGTCTCAAAATAAAAAATTTTAAAAGGGGTGAAGGGCTGGGGATGTAGCTCAGTGTGAAGGCCTTGTGTTCAATCCCAGTGTTACTGAAAAAAAGGAAGAAAAGCAAGCTTCTCCCTTTAGGGTCGGTTAGACTAAAACAGTAGTTTCTATAGCTCTATTATACTATCTGAACATCTGGAAACCAAAACAAGCAAAATAACGGAAGAAAAATGCAAGCTATGATTCATAGAATAACTTAAAAGACAGTTTTTATAGCAGCTGCTGAGGACCTTAGCCAGAGCTGTTAGAATCATCATTGTAAAAAAGGTCACTGATGAAATACACTGACCATTAATATTAATCCCTATAAGCAAAGAGAAGGGCTAGTTGCACTTTCACAATAAGTAACAGTCTTGATCTACAACTAACAGGTCACCTCCATATTCTGCATACTTGCAAAGAAAATACTATATTGCAGCAGCTTTCAATTTATATCATATGTGGGGTGACAAATATAAACACGTCCAATTTTATTACAACTTCAAATAAAGCAAGGCAGGTCATGAGATGACAACAGTCAAGCCAGCCCTGGCTGGTAGGAGTGGTGCCATTTATCCTTTCCTGCCACAGTTGCCTTTTATGCAAATTGACTATGAGTGGGAGGAAGCTGGTACCCCACACTCTGACTACCCTGGGAGTTTATCTGCTTTCCCTCAGTTCCATAATGTTTTCCAAAGTAGATCCATTTAATATCACCAGGAGGTGCAACACTTGCAGAAAATATCCCCTACCTTCCAAAAAGTCTTTAAGATCGCAAAGGTCAGTACCTGAAGCGTATCATTATATATAAGCACTGCTACCACGATGACTCTAAGAGTGACCCCAGGAAAACATTTTGAAAGAGTACCTTTTTCTTTTTGAAGTGAGTCACAATGAGTAGGTAAACACACTAAAATCCTAGTTTGCCTGAGTCATGGCTGTATTTATTTATTGCTAAAACATTTAAATATGACACTTATTGATTGCTTTTTGTTTTTGCAGTGCCTTGAGATAAATCCCAGGGACCTGAGTGTCAGGCAAGCACTCTACCCCTGAGGTGTATCTCCAGCCCTGAATACCATTTTAAAAAATACTTTCCCTTTTCAGCCTAGACTGTCTCTTGACAAAATTTATCTGATATGAAATTCTAGTTCAAATTATTTTTCCTTGGCGAAACTCATTTATTCAAATACCCATTAAAAGCAGAAAGTTTTATCCTAGCCCAATCTAAAGCAGTGTCAGAACTTGAACTCCTACCTCCAAACTCCCTAATCGTGGGCATTACATCGTTCTATTCACACAGCTGTCACAGCAATTGTTAGTCACTTCACTGTTTGCTCACTGGCCAATCCCCTCATCATTTTAGCCCTCTGATAAAGCAGTCATTCTGTGGCGCAACTTCACTTCCATTCGGGATTTTAACGTGCACGCACCGCTATAATACATGATTCTGTAATACAGTTACATTTCTGGGGGAAAATTTCTCCCTTTCTGCCAGGGAAAGACAAAAATTAAATCCTAAGTAAAGATAAAAATTAAATAATCTCATCCTATTTGCACGGCAAATTTAACCTGAATGCTCAAAAAATTACTAACATGGTGATGACACAAATTTGCAAGAAACACAGTAAGCAGGAATACTGCCTAGATTTCTGTCTTCTGAAAAATACACTCTAAATTTTTAAGTACCACAAATACAGTCCTCTAAGACAAGGTGTTACTAAATGTTGTCTCTTTCCTCTAACCTGACTTAGATGTTATGAAGTAATTTTATACAGACTTTTTTACTTTTAAAACTGCAAGTTATATTATACTCTTTATACAATATATTAGACAACCAATGTACCTGGAAAAAAATCAGTTGTATCTTTGTTAAGCAAAAACAGTCGATATACAACTTGCAAAACAGCTCAAAACAATTACCTGAAGGCACAATAATGTTCAAACGAATAGTTGCAAAGGAAAGTTATTAAAGCAAATAAATCACTTTTCAAACTTGGGAGTCAGTCCCCTCTTCCCTTCAGTACTGGGACGGAACCCAGGACCTTCACACTGAACAATACCTCCAGCCCTTATTCTTTTTTTATTCCTTTCCAAACTTGGAGTCAGTTGGTGTATGTGTGTATGTGTGTGTCTCCTTCAGCGGGAGATGGAACTCAGGCACAAATGAACTGTTTTTCTCACTGCCCTTATTGCATAATCACTAAAACCCAAAAGGAAGAAGACAGACTGGTTAAATTCTTAAACTTTACTTCCTGCTGACTTAGAAGATCTTACTGATATACTAAATTCAAATGTTACCATTTTCCTACTGTAGTAAGACACTAACGTTATTTCAGCCTCAAAAGAGCCAACGAAGCACCGGTCCCACTATCGGGGAAGTTAAAAGCGGGTCACCAGGATATAAACCTAGGAGAGCTTCCTCTTTAGGAGAAATTTCTCTTGATGTCTAAAACGGAAGAAGTGGCCCACCTTAAACAAAGTGCAGCGGAAAACTTGCAGAAAAAACAAATCACAAGTTATTGCATACGGTGATCCACTTTCACCGGTGGTAGGAACGCAACGGTTAAGTAAGTCTCGGTCTCCTGTCCAGTAACTTTGTCCTGACCACAGCGGCTACTTGTTAGACCTACCGTCCGCTCCAACGCTTAGGGTCAGGGAAGAGACACGGCCCTCCACTCCCATCAGGACTAAAGCCTCTCTCTCTACGGAAGCCTGGGGGGCGCGGAGGGCCCGTGCCCCGCATCCCCGGCGCCCACACCGCCGCGACTGCCCGGGAGGCAGAGCCCACCGCTGGGAGCCAAGACAGCCCTCCCTCCCGCCAGGGCAGTGACCCAAGTGCGGACCACCCGCCCCCTCCTCCAGCAACAGCGTCCGCGCCCAGGGGTCGGGGCAGGGGAAAGAGCAGCAAGTGCTGGCCAGGGCAGAATCGGGCAAAGAGGACGTCTGCAAGCGGGGAGCGGTCCCCACGCAGCCTCGCCAGTGGGACGAAGGCCCAGGCCAGGGAAGGAGCCGCCGCCGCCATGATGAGACCGGCCGCGCCGGGGGGCGTGACGCGGGCGACCCTGCGCTCAAGGCCGGCTGCCCTTCCCCTGGCGCTCCCGCTGCCCGCCGGCGCGGGCCTCCACCGCCCCCGACCCCGATACTCACGCTTTGTCCACCAGCTCCCGCACCTTCCACATGTTCAACATCTTGCCCCACGCAGGCCGAGCTGCCGCCTCCCTCTCCTGCTTCCCACGGACCCCAGAACACTTCTGAGCCGGGGCAGGTCCGGGCCGGGGTCGCTGCCGTCGCCCGCCGCCTGGAACTCCCCCAGTCCGCTCCTTCCCTTGCTACAGCCACGGCGCCGCCGGTGACACGTCGAGACGTGGCGGCAGAGGCGCTGCGTAGACCGGAAGTGCCCGCCTTTCCACCCGCGCACGAGGCACGCTGGGACTTGTAGTTTTCTTTGCGCAAGTGGCGTGAGGGAAGGCGAGGTCGCGAGGGTCTTTCTCCATTACCTCAGACCTGCGGAACCAGAAACTCCCCCTTAGGGTCCAGTGGTCGGCGCTGCAACAAACTCTGCAGGTGACTGTGGTGACGCTCAAATTTCAGAAGTACGGCTGTAATATCTAGCCATATTTATTCCTTTAAAATGTATTATTAATGATTATACAGAAGTGTAGTGGTCATTTGTACGGTATTCCTCATTAACAGATATCTTGCAGTATTTGCGTACAAATGTCCAAAAGAATTTACATTTCTGAGCCTTATTTTCCACTCCTGTGTATTGAAGAAGTTATATTCTAATTCTGTGATACAGTGGTTTTATATTTAGACCGCTTCTTAGTACCTGTATTAACAACTTTATTATAAGCTTTGAAACTCAGTTCAAACTATATGGGAAACTAAAAAGCACACATCAACATACATATTTGTTGTATATATACACACATACAGTTACATATGTATTTTATATGTGACACACAAACTCGGCAGGTTTATATTCTTTGTTTTTAGTTTTTAAAATCTTTATTTAAAAATATTAGTATGTGCAGATTTATAGTTTTAAAGCCTAAGTATATGCACTTCCAGGGTTTCATTGCAATGATTGTCATCCCTTCCTTTTTCATTTATTCAATTCTATCCATGCTAATGAAAAAAATTCAAGTAATCTTAAATTTCGTGTAGTCCGTCTCCTTAAATGTTATAGTTCTTTTCATTCCACAATCCCCTTAATCCCCCACCTGTATGGAGGATTGAACCCAGGGCTTTCACACTGAGCTACCTGTCTAGCCCTCCTTTTTGTTTTTTATTTTGAGATACAGTCTCACTAAATCACTAACTTGCCCATACTGGATTCAAACTTGTCATTTTGCCACCTCAGGCTCCCAGACTGCTGAGATTATAAGCATGTGCCACCATAGAAGGCTTCATAACTATTGACCGTCTTCTGTGAACCAGAAATGGGAAATAAAACTGGAGCCCCAGTTCTCTTGGAGCCTAAAGTGTGTTGGAAGAAACAATAACCAATAAAACATTTACTTGCAAATAACAGGGGCTTGAAGAAAACAAAATGCTATTGATAATGATATTACAGAAAATAATATTAGGGAATATTTGCGCCCCCTTTGAGGTCATTGTATTAAATTTGAAACTGGAACAATAAAAAGGAATTGGCCATTAAAAAAAATCTACAAGAAAAGATTTATTGGTGAAGGAAACATAAGAAGATCTGATTCACAAAGAAATGAATTGATGGTTGCTAGTCATGAAACTAAATAACAGTGCTCCCAGAACCTCCAACCCCTGATCTCAAGTCAAGCCACCTCTTCAAATTGTGTCAACTTACTTAGTGGAATCAGCTTTGAAAGGGTTTAGGTAAGGTTTTGGGAGAGAAGCCCCCGAAGAAGCAAGCTGAAGGAATTGCCAGAAAGAGCAGAAATCAGGACAAAGCCAACTCGGAGATTTATCAAATAGGAGTCCTTGGGAATCACACAAAGTCACTTGGAATAGTGGGCAGGAGGGCAGGTAAAAGGGAGTAAAGGTAGAGGAATGGGGCTTTCAAAATGATAAGTTTGTTTCTGTTGAAAGGATTGGCCAGCCCAAGGTTCAAAGGATGGAATGTGACCAGAGGAGATAAGGGGAACTACTTTGCATAAATAAGAGCTCAGCAAGTTAACTTTCAAACGAGCAAGTCCAGAGTACACCTGCAGAATGATTTAGCACGGAGAATAACCACCTTCCTGCCCTCGGCTTGTTTGTACAGCCGTGCACAGCCCGCCTTACAGAGAGGGCCAGAAAGTACAATGTCATTGTCTAATTCTCTCATTCCAATGCCAAGTGGAACTAGACTTATTCCAGAACTAACACTCTGGCATTTCCCTTCTGCTGGGGCCATCTAGAATGTCACACAGAAAAACCTGCTCGTCTACCTTCCATTCCAGACAGCCCCAAGGGGCTCAGAAGAATCATGCCAGAAGAGTTTGTTAAAAAGTGGTCTCCAGGGGCTACCCATTTTCATGTCAACCAAGTGTTCCATTTTTACCTTTTGCAAGTGTGAGAGCAGTTTCCATAGTAATTTCTTTGTGGCAATTTAAATGTGTCCATGGTAGAACAATAAATGAGAAAATGCCCCACCCGCCCCGCTTTAGGAAAACATTTTTTTTGCTAAATGAATTGACACAAAGCAACACATATTTTGAAAGAAAACAACTCAGCTGTGTTAATTACGTGTGAGGAACAGTTACAGACAATAGACACCGACTGCTTATCTCGTGTGCTTGGCTCCCTGGTATTTCCTTGGGAGAAATGTAATGCCTGGTGCGTAGGTATGGCAGCAATGGGAAGACCTCTGTGTAAAAGAATGAGCTGTGAAGAGCATGGCTGGCTGGCACCTTCTCACAGCCCCTCCTCGTATCGTTTATGCCAAGGCCATGCTCAAGGTACGCTGGAACTGGGCCATTTCTGCCCCGCTGGACTCCCCTTGTTGGCAGTCATTGCTGTGCTGATTTCCTCAGAACCTCACTGCAATCAGGCAGTCTTCTTACCAGTCTTCCGTCTTGCCCTTCACAGAATGTCCCTGTGGTTTGATACTCTAATGAGCTTCTCTTGCTCGCTTCCTTCTTATCTTCATAGGTGCTTTCCCCAGTAGTATCTCTATATTTTCTAATTCCTTCCGGCTCTTGCTTCTTGCAGTGCCCAGTGACCCAGAGGCAAACATGTGGACCTTGGTTTTAGTAGGTAGGATATGAGTCTTCTTTTTTTTTTTTTTTTTTTATTGCACCTGACTACTCTTCTTTAGAAGTGAGGTTACTGTACTTGGTTTCTAATCATAATTGAGGGTTGTCACGGTCGTGCAGATTATATATTGTGCAATCCCAAGGACACCATTTATGTTGACTCCCATGAACTGCTAAACAATGAACCAGTGATAGGAAGCGCAGTACTTAGACAGTGTAGACTCAGGAATCAGACGAATCTGTGCCCAGGTGCTGCATCTGCTGTTCACAATGCTGGTTGTTATGAATGAATTAATTAAATCAGTGTAGTGTAATGGCTGTGAACTGGGACTTTAGATCCAGGTTGACAGAGTTGGCTGATTGATTTACTATACTGGAAATTGAGTCCAGGTCCCTCACACTGAGCTACATCCCCAGCCCTTTGTGTTTTTTAGTTTGAGATACAGTCTCACTAAGTCACTGAGTTGTCTAGGCTGGTCTCAAACTTGTGATTCTCTTGCTTCAGCCTCCCATATTGCTGGGGTTACAGGCCTGGGCCCCACACCAGGCTTGCTACTTTTTTGCTACTTTCTAGCCATGTGACCTGGGGGAAATTGTTTGACCTCTCTGCTCCTCAGTTTTCTCATCATAATGGAGGATGATGGAAACTTAAAATCTACCTTGAAGACTTTTTCAGATACTTAACTGAAATAGTATTTTAAAAGAGCTTAGAATAGTGTATAGCCCAAAACTAACACTGAGTAAATGTTAGCAATCTTGCTGCTAATAAACGTAGCTATATGAATCTGTGAATTTCATTCAGTGTTCAAATATTTAGTTTCCTATGTTCCAGGCACTGTGCTAGGTGGTAAATATACAATTGTAGATAAAACATATACAGAAAATGAGTAAATAGACATTTAGTAGGTAAACATAATAAACTCAAATGATGTGCTGAGGATCAAGTCAAATAATCACTCTCTTCACATTGAGCCCTGCGTTCAGTAAATGCTAACTAAGTTCTACCTCATTATGAAATCCTTTATAGAGATTTAAGCTTTTTTCTTATAAACTGAGGAATTGGTCCATTAAAGTATCCTAAAGTTAGCCATTCATCAGAAATTCATGGTCATGTTTAAAAACACCAGATTCTCTTGTCCAACCTTTTGAATTTCTGATTTAATTTATTTCTTACCCTCTTGTTGTGAGAGATACTTCATTAAAACTAGCTAAAGGCAGACTTGGTTGTTCACACTTGTTATCCCAGGACTCCTGAGGCTGAGACAGAAGGATATTGAGTTTGAGGCCAGCTTGAGCTATATAGCAGAGTCCAGCTTGAACTACATAGCAAGACCCTGACTCAAAAACCAAACTAAACCAAACACACACAAACACACACACACACACACACACACACAGTGGCTTAAACAGAATAAAGACTGGGAATATTGCTCAGTGGTGCTTGCCTAATAAGCATGAGATGATGCCCTGGGTTTGATCTTTGGAACACCCAAAATAAAATTAATAAATAAAATAAAAATAAAAAAATGTAAAAGTGGAACAAAGGAATTTATTAACACAGGAAACTGACGAGTTTGCATTGGGAATTTAGCAAATATTGCCATGTCTCTGTCCAATTCTCATTTTATCTTTTTGCAGATAGGCTTCTCCTGGTTGGTGGAAAATAGGGCTACCACTTGATGGGGGTAGGGGTGGGGTGGGAATAGATACTATTTGTTTTCAGTTAAGCATCCATGGAAGAAGAAATGCTTTTGTCTTTCATCCATGAAGGCTATTATCAAGGGGAATCACGCTGATTGGCCCAGATGGATCATGTCTCTTATCTCAGGGCCACTTTCTTCAAGGGAAGCCACCCTCATGGAACTGGTAGCCCTAGTAGAACTACACCAGTGGGGAGAGAGGAGAGCTCTTTGAGGAAATACAGTGTTGAAGAAAGCCTTCCTTGGCAGACAGAGCACCAGATGTTCATCACTGTAAGTCTAAGTTGGAATGTGGGGATGCATATTTTGAGAAAAAAAAAGCAAACAAAATGAAAACCCCTGAAGTGTTTTATTTGCAAGAGTTTTGTGTGCTCTGTGTTAGATAATGCACTAGCCTTTGCTCTCTGAGTTCATCAAAAGAGAAAAGAATGTTCTGGGGAATAACAGAAAAGAAAAAG